CCATGTACCCTGATCACCAAACACTCCCCCGTAACCATATGATGGGGCAGGATCCTCCACCTGTGTAACCTGTGTGTTTGCTTCCAACACAATATACAAAAACACAACAGACATACGAGGATAGTAGTAAATCCACTCAAGCGCACTATCATTATCCAGTCTTACGGGAATAAACGACCCATCTGGTTGTTGGACCATGAAAGTAATATTCGAAATTGTCCAACTATCACGAAATCCACCATTTTCGTAAATTATATCTACCAATTGTTCATATGATATTCTCTCATTAATAATAAATGAACAATCCGGACGAGCCAAATAATTCAAAAAATTCCCTAACTCACTTTGAGGAATTTTTCAGTACACATTAACAAAATAAGGACATATAGACGCCATTTATAACCTGTTGCACAAAGAAAAAAAATAATCATATTTTTATTCCAACTAAAAAACAATAGCAAATGCCCTAATCACCACAATCCAACAATAATCTAACAATAATCCAATAATAACCCAACAATAACATCAAATTCATAAAAATTTCGAATAAATATTCAACATACAACAAAATCATAATCACTACCACTACCTAATTAATCATCATAATCCAACAATAACATCAAATTTATAAACAATTCGGATACATATTCAACATACAACAAAAACTCACCATACAATAGCTAATTATAATCATTTAACACAACGATTAAACCAATATTCAAGATTTCCTAAACAATACTCAATTAACCAAATATACTTCAATTAAACATTAATAAACAACAAAAACATAATACTACATTACATTAAAATAACAACTAACCTCTTCCCCGATTGTCTTCAAAAACCGAACAGAAAAAAGAAAAAAAATTTCGGATTGATGAATGATTTGTGAGAAAAAAATTCGGATTGATGAATGATTTGTGGTTGGGGGAGCAGTATGCAGTTGTATATATTGACCAAAACACGGATTCTCACAATCCGTGTTAATCGTTTTTTTTTTTT